AGGTACACATGCACTGCTTTGCTTTGATCACACCCATGTGGGGCTTGCACGCCCCCCTACATTCACTTCATATCACAATCACAGCTCTGGCCAACTAACTCTTCCACCATTCCATACAGTTAGCCCCATCTCAGTGAATGCAGCTGGAGTGATTACAGATGATTCCCAGCCCCAAGGAGGCAGTTACCATTGTGTGGGTGATACCTTAACTCTAAATTGCCTGGTTTTCACAAGTTTGCATTTAAAATACCTTAACTCTTCAGTGCCTGGTTTTTGAAAAGTTTAAGTTTTGCTGAACTCAGTGTTCTAGAAGGGCACAATTGTTCACTGGTTCTTTTCCCCACTATCCAGCCCACACATGTTCCCGACCGACTCTTGGGCCGCAGAAAGTATGTCATTTATTTGCTGCTTCAGTGAGTGATCAGTTCATGAAATAGGGCAGAGCAGAGGGTTAAATGCAAGTGCACCCCCATTTTCAGGTGCATGCCTAACATACATTGTTGCAAAGCTATTCATTACATATTGTTTAACCACTTTTCTGCCTAACACTATGATTAGTTTGCTAACTCTGTTTTTTTCCTGACCAAACTGCTGATGTGGGTGGTCACCAGATCAGGTTGCTAGCTCAGCTTTTCACCTGGCTGTTCTCTTTACTTGCCAGACAAGTTGGTATCTTTTCACATGTTCTAACATCTAAAATATACATGCTACTTATTACATAGCCTACAACAATATACTTTGGGAAAACCTTAACTATGTGTTAACCAAGTTTTTTGTCAGTATAAGTATGTAATATTTCAGCTAACAGCATGCCTCCATGCAATATGTATCAAAACTGGAGAAGTCCATGGAAGTCTGGACCGCTTTAGAAAGATTCACTTTATGATTAACGTTTGCCCTCTCTGGACAAATACATGGGGAACAAAGGCTGGAGGGGCAAACACACATGATATACAAATAAAGGTTCAAAGGAGATCATTCCTAGTTTGATATCAGGTCTCTTTTGCTGAACAATGACTAATCTAGTTTACCAAGCGGAACTGAGAGCAGCTATTAGCTTGCATGCTCTGTTCCACCGCACAATATATAAAGTGTGGATTCTGAAATACCAGTAAACTCCCTGCTAGAACCCAGAATAATTGCTACTCTGTAATGGAGCCTCTGGGAGCAACAACTATTTTCCTGGCAGTGTGCATCTCTTGCCTTCTTTTCCTTTCAGCATGGAAAAAGATGTCTGGAAGTGGGAAGCTGCCGCCTGGCCCTGTTGCTTTTCCCATCATCGGAAATGCACTGCAGCTGAATACGAAGAAG